AAAACCCTTGGAATGCAAAGAAGAAGAAGATTAACCCCCGGCCACAGTAAACGTGAAACGGAGAAACTGAGAACCGGAAAGTCAGCTACTGAAATCACTCTCTTGAAAGGCGAGTACGGCCACCTCCGATTAAAGCTCGGAGGTGGCCGTAAGTTCGGCTGGTCGTGATCACTTGGGGCACTTTGGCAGGCTAATCTAACTCACTGACATTTACCCTGGGAGCTCTTTCCGATCACGGAGATGGCAGACCAGTTAGACAGTTGTAACATGGGTGCCGCCTGGAGTTTGCCAATCAAATGGTGGTCACATTCGGTTGCGCTTTCATGGCGCCATTCCTTTCCAAAGGACCACCAATACGTTGGCTCACTCTAAATAAAATATCTCCAGTTTCAAGCGTTGATATCCATAATGTGATATGACAGATGCCCTCGACTGCGACGAAGTAGCTATAATAGTAAGGAAACTCATAATACAGAGCAAGTCGAAATTACCTCAAACTTTTGGGGTTTTGAGGCTCCGATAATTTGGTAAAGACGTAGCACACCTGACTCGGCAAACAATAGAGAGTACTCTTCACTGTTCGAAAGTATTAGGTTGGGAGGAAAGTCCTGTCAGTGTTTTTTGAAAAGCCTACACTTTTTGGTTCTTGATGCTCGAACATGGCGTAACATGCTATGCTTGTAAAACATCTAGGAGCTTTCCTGCAAGTGTTGGCTGCATTTCCCTGGGTCTAATTACTTGAGTTCAGTTTCACACGGGCATCTTCGGGCCGTCATGTTCTACCAGTGGCCCCGCGGCATTGGAGCAGCGGCAGCTGTCCGTAACTTCAGCAGTGCCTCGGTTAGCAGTGCAGAGCAAACCTCGGTTGGGACGGCCGTACGAAGGGGAAGACTCCACCATTCTCGAAGCTGTCAAGGAGGATCCGGAGGTTACCACCCGCAGTCTTGCGACAAGACTCGGATGTACCTAACTGACAGTCGCCAACCGCCTGTAAGCCCTTGACTACCGATGGCATGCTGCGAACCCGGGTACCCCGTGGTCAGTCTCCCCTTCTCCGCCCTCGTCAAAAGGAGTTTCCGGATCCTCCCTGCTTAGTGGAGATGATAGATGGGTCCTCTGTGATTTCAACCCACACAGTACCGTGTGTCTCTCTCAAGGAGAAGATCCATTCTAGCAGTCCAAACCGGGCATGTATTCCGAGAAGGTTCTCCTGTGCTGCTCCTGGGACGCAAGGGGGATGCTGCAGAACGAGCTGCCTTCTGAGAACACACGGAAAAAATGCTGGAAAAAATGACCAAAACTAGCATCGGAGCACCTCATTCAAGTACGCGAGACCGAACACCTGCTATGGAGACCAAGTTTCTGAGCTCCAAACAGTGCACCGAACCCACCGTGGACCGCCACGGCGGAAGCATGAAAGGGTAATGATTTCTAGTAACTGGGGAGCGATCGAGCAATATAGCATCTGATGGCAGAGTGGACCTAGCGGTGAAAGCCGAAGCAATGCTGACTGTATAAAACGTCCCTTGCAATGGCAGTGCCCGAGCTCTGAGTGCTAACCCATATAAGAAAACCTTGACAGGCAGTCCATTCATCTGAAGTGAGGATGCTGAGAAGGTTCTGTCTGTGGCTGAGCACGACTAGACACAGTCAGGAACAAGGACGTCGAGGCGATCACGCAGATGGCCCCGATCCAGCTGAAGGCGCTAGAGTAACTGCTGCGAAGGATACAGAGCACAAGACAAGCGACTATGAGGAGCCCCAAAGAAGAGATAGAGGGACGTTTTCTAGAAGGACTTCACTGATGTGAATGTCAAGGCAGAAGATGCAGTGGACTCAACAAGTGGCGACGTCCAACAAGAGCCGCGGACCCTGCAACGGCGCGGGACTAACGCTGGGAGAAGAACAAGAGACTGCGAGCACGATTCATCTATTACGAAAAGCCCTCAGGTCAGTTCCCACATAATCCTTTAAGGTCCCATCTGTGTCATTTAAGTTCTATATATTTCATCAGACAATTCCACTCAGCACAGCGTTGCAGGACCGGTTTCGCTTGACGCTCGAGAGTGCCAGGGGATTGAATTTGGTGTCAGCACCCCTCCACAGATCACTGAGGCGGGCAAACGACAACAATCGACAAAGCGGGAAGCGGCTGAAGCCGCGTCAGTTCCTGACACGCCCCGGCGTGTTCGGCGGGAACAGCTATGTTACTGCATTTATTGTACATGGAGCGAAACTCACTTCGTTTTCGGTAGAAAGATGTTGAAAGCGAAAGAAGGGTCCTATAACGAAGGGAAAGCAACTGAAGGTCGCTGTCTTCAGCGTATAACCGTTCAACATCGTGAGCATTCAGGTATTCCACCTAAAATCCCCGGATTAGAAGTTTGAGTGGATTTCCTGTGCCATCAACTCAGAAAAAGAAATGGAAACGGTAATTGAAGTCTTTGACACCCCCATCCTTACCATCTTTAGGAACAAATATGGCGAACAGGAACAGCCATCAGAGGGGTTCTTTCTGAGGGGGAGAGTAGCCGCTAATCCCTATCCCAACATCCCTTTGTTCACTCTCGGAAGTTTCTAAAAGTTACCTGGGAGTGAGGCAGCGCTCACTACCTGTGGGTCCTGGAGTCCCAGTTCAGTCAAAGCGAGAGACCGTCAGGTAACTCGTTTCCTACGGCAATTGAGCCTCTTATCTCCCAGTTCAGATAGTTCCCCTCCCCACCTCCTTGAAAAACCCCCCCCCACCTCCTTGAAAAGAACGCAATCTATGGTTCGCAGTCACGCAACAGCCAAAATTATTACTTAGGAGAAATTGCGTAGAAGTTCCACCCATAAGTGGGGAATAAAACGGAACGCGTGGCGTATTCCAAAAATAACTGCTCAAGGCCGTACCTTTCCGAGCTTCTCTCAAGAGAAGGGGAACGCAAATAAGAGGACAGGCACTGGTGGTGCGTCTGGAAGCATGCTAACCTCGGAAACGGGTTTGTAGAAAAAGTCCCCTGAAGACGCCGCGCAGAAGAGCCGCGGCTGCAGGAGCAAACTGTGCAGCAAGCGGTCGAAAAAAAATAGAACTCTGCAGTTTGGTCACGCAGGACGCATCGCTGTTCTGCGCGACTTGTCGAGAACGAATGTAACACAGCCCAGAATGACCAACCTTTCTTTCGCTTCCTGTGGCGCTGTAAAATGTTCCATTTGAACTGGATCGTTTCTTGAATTTGATCTCCCATTTTGCCGTAAAATAGATGGCGTTGACAATAAGTGAGGAAGCACCTACAAGAAACACTCATCACCCTTCAAACGTGAATCCCCAAACACAGTCTTCAGGAACAAAATTATCCTCAAGAGATGATAGGTGGGATTAAGTGATATAGGAACAATAGACGATAGAGGAACATGGTTATAAGTAGGAGTTACGAGTGGGGCGGGGACAAGATTCCTTAACGGCCCTTGGAACAAGAGTGCACTAGACTCATAGCTCCCATTTGAAAAAGAGGGGCACACTGGTTCGAAGAAATGTATGGGAGGAGGCGGGAATGTTATTTTTGGTTGGCAGAAACGGTAACAACTGATAAGTTATTTCTTCAGTAATTGTAGCAGCAGGGTCTCGGAGGGTATGAATAAATAAGTAAATAAACAACATGGCAACTGGGCATCACGGCCGACTGATGCAAGAGAGTGCGATGAACGGCTACTAGGTTCCAACATTTTATAATTTATGCTTCTTGCAATTTTGTGAATGCATATGTCCAAATCAAAATGCATAAACCTAAGTTCAGGTCTGCTCGCTGACAAACACACCCCTCTCCCTTTCTTCTTTTTTATCATTTTCTGCGACTGTATTGGACGCTTTTCTTGTCGCTTACTTTTCTTGCTTATATGTTTGCTGTGAACGTTTACTGGTGATTCATGACTGTTGCTCTAGCGCGTTCTATGGACGAATTTTAAATAATATATAAGGAAATAAATAAGAGCGGTATACATCGCTGGAGGAAAGCTACAGAACTGAATGCACGCGTCTTGTTATCGGTGGAAATTGGTTCCTACTGTATAGGTTTATATGCTTTATTGACGAGACGGGGTGGCCTCGTGTTAGATGCTGGTTGTCCGAGACGGGGTGGTCTTGGGTGGTGAACGTGGTAGAAGCTATTGCCTCTCAATACAGGAGAGGTCACGTATTCACCTAAGGGTCATAATCACATGCTCAATATTGCTTATGGGTTACACATATCAATCAGTTAGTCATGAAAGGGTGCGCCGGCAGGTTCTGGTGGCAATCCAGAACACCTACAAGTATTGTATGAGGCAAAGGGTTTAGGGTTGATTGACTGCTAGCGATGCCTTGAACAACCCTTCCCTCAGGAGGGGCAAACCACATACCTTTGAAGACTTCGTTCATTCACCATGTTCCGAATCTTTCCTTCAGTTGTTCTTACTTATGAAGTCGTCAATAACCTGAAACTAACAGTTTGCACAGAGGTCAAGGGGTGGGCAACTAACTTAAGCATAAGAATTTACTTTGAAGCAGCTAAATGAAAACAACCTTAGCCGAGTGCTTTGCTTCGGCAAAATCCAGAGCTTCCACTTTGGCGTGGAGATTTTTTTGAATATCGTGCTCATATTTCTTCTCTATTTTGAACTGTTTGCTAAAATTTTGGATCATTCTAGTTTTTTTCAAAGTGCGAAATGAGTTTTCAAAAAGTGCACTCACTCTAGGAAAAAACCATTTGCTATTCGGCTTTTCACACCCTCTTTCGCGTTCATGATCTGGTTATAGAGCTTTGAATAATGCTCTTCAATATCCCTGTCGGACCCTCCTGAAAGACAATTTACTAGAGAAAAGGAGCACGAGGGCAGCCAAAGAAATTTGGGCTCGAACCTTTAGAGATGACGGAATCAATTTGAGATTTCGTAGGGCCCTTGGCACCCGCTCGCACCATCGCCAAAGGCGAAAATCACGGAGATTGGCGACACGACTAGAGAGTCGTTGACGGGCCCATTCCGGAGCATATTGAGCCCGAAATCCGTTTCGGCCGTTAAATACATCCTTAACAGCAAGGTCTAGTGAGACAAACACCAGTTAAACACCAGTGAGACAAACACCACCAGAATTCCTGGAGTTCGCTGGAGGAACAGTGGCTGGAGGCTGTGTGAAGAGGTGAAGGTAGGGGAGCAGCAAAGGCAGCCAGTTATGAAGGTCTCGGGATGCATCAAGAAGTACAGTCCTCATCGTTGCGGACTGTCAGGGCGGCTGAGCCGCGCTGCGCTGTGACGCGAGAGCGGCTGTCAACATGTTAAGCAAGCAATAGTTGAGCATGGCACTGTGTAAAGTCTTTAATAAATACGACCTTCCCGTGCTTGAAGCTTTTTCCCTTCACAACTTATTATCCTAAAATTTGACAGATGAGTGGAGTGTCGAAGGTCCTCTCCACAGAACTATTAAGATCTATTTCAGGAAATAGTGACTGTATAGTATCTTGATGGGAATTTTAACTGACAAGATTTTCTCTAGAGCACATGAGATTCGAGAGCATTACTTTGGTGAAAAATCCAGTTTTCCTAGATCCTTTCCTCCATCGGGAGCAGTTCGGCGATGGGGCGAAGGGTGTATGACGCACTTTCGCCGCTCCACAGTGCAGGTTTAATGTCTCAATCTGGTGAAACACGTGCACTCTTGCGATCCTGGAGGAAGCTCGTGGAGCCATTATGGTAAAACCTGTCTATGGGTCGACACGTTGGTGGGGAGTTGCGAAAGTGCAAAATGCCTCCCCCTCCCGTCGCCGAACCTGCCCCGCCACCGTGCCCTAGTAATGTTGCAAGAGGCAGCTGACCATGAGAAAAGCTACGATCGGTGCACTTAGCACTGAAATCTCAAGCCGTGATAACGATCTAACAGCTATAACAACGAAAAGCAGGAATATAGAAAATAGGAGAGATGTAGCTTCACCGCTCTGCCCAACTTTCTGCACAATGTGAAAAGCTGCCTTGGCTGCGCGTTTTATTCACATCTATCGCTCTTACAGGGAATATTAAACAGCAATCACAGCCATCAAACGAGAACACGATGATTTTACAGGAACCATTATTCAAGCGAAGCAAAAACCATTGTGCTATCAAAGGCGTCAGCCTAACATTATGGTAAGAAGCCGGCTATGGTAAGAAGCCGGCAGAAATGTGAATAATTCTCGAGGGGAACCAAATCGAATGTGTTCTTCTAAGCCTTGAGATGGCTCATTTCGCCGCGATCCAGCCGGCAGTTTCAGAAGGCATGGGATAGCCAAGCCGCTGCGTTTTCTATCATTGGCTATTTTCCACCTGAATTGAAGCGTTAACCGATCATTTCTGGTAGAAAACGCAGCCGGGGCGGGCCTATTTTACTCCCTGGTATACTCCCCCCCCCGCGCACACCGTTCTCTGCTTGGACGAATCTGCGCGGCGATTCGTCGATCCTAAATTTTCGCGCAATTTGATTGGCGAATGTGGCCGGCGGCAACTTTCCGAGGCAGCCGCAATAACAAGCAGCCTAATTATACCAAGTATTTTGCCAAGTAAAAAATTGTTTCTTGGCACATTATGAGTCATCGCTACTTCGTGGTGACTCGCACCGGAAAGCTGTCCACGAAAATCCTCCACGGGCTTCGTACACAGTTTCCAAAAGTAGAGCAGAGCTCCCAAGTGTGGGTCGTTCTAGACGCATTGCTGCTGAACGCCTTGGGTGAGGCGCACTACTAGTTACTAGTTCCGTCGACGTGGATACTTACAAACTCTTGTCAAGCCACGAAATGCACTCAAGCTTGTTCAGGCCGCCTATTTGCTCACGAGGATTTGCAATCTCATTTAAATCAGATACAACCGTACATTGTGGAGCTCACCTTTTCGTGAGTTTACAGGGGCTCATGGGCCTGGTCAAAGCTGCTCGGCGGAGTTTGCTCCATTAAGCAGCTTCCTAAAAGTTCGTATGTTCCAACAAAATTAAGAGACTTAATGGGTTTAAGGGAAGGCATCTCCTCCCTCCCTTCCCCTGACCCGAACGATGTCCACAGACGTAGAAAGCACCTGACGTTTTTCCACCTGTCTCGGGGTTTGGTCCCAGTCGTCTTCGTCCTTACTGAGCATTGGAATATGAATAGCGA